GCTTGGTCGCTACGCCCCGGCCCTCGCCCGATAACACAAAACTAAGATATGACGCTCCCGGTCGCGATTATTTCATGGTTAGTATATAAAAAGATTTTTTTTCCCCTATCATTTCTACTGACCTAATTGTATGCTATCACAATGATGATTGTTTCATTTTCCCTTTAAAGCATGCTTAGCTAGGGGCGGTAGGGGCAGTAAAGGGACATAGGACGAAAAAAGGAGCAGACAAAGAAACATTTTTGACAAGTCTAAAACGGTACAACAAATCATCTTCTTTCTCTATTAACTTAATGAAACGTTAAGCTTCTGCGCTTTGCGCTGGAGGGGGAAACTGAATTCAGAGAAGGATTAAGAGTCGGGAATAGAACAACGAATTATATTCTTTCTCTAATAATTTCATTAAACTATGAAAGGTCAAAGCTTCCGCGCTTCGCGCGGGAGGGGGAAACTGAATTCAGACAAGGAATAAGAGTCGAGAATGGAACAACAAATCATCTTCTTTCTCTAATAATTCAATGAAACGTCAAAGCTTCCGCGCTTTGCGCGGAGGGGGGAAACTGAATTCAGACAATGATTAAGAACCGAGAACGGTACAACGAATCGTCTTCTTTCTCTAATAATTTAATGAAACGTTAAGCTTCTGCGCTTTGCGCTGGAGGGGGTAATCTGAATTCAGAGAAGGATTGAGGGTCGAGAATGGAACAACGAATTATCTTCTTTCTCTAATAATTTCAATAAACTATGAAAGGTCAAAGCTTCCGCGCTTCGCGCGGGAGGGGGAAACTGAATTCAGACAAGGAATAAGAGTCGAGAATGGAACAACAAATCATCTTCTTTCTCTAATAATTCAATGAAACGTCAAAGCTTCCGCGCTTTGCGCGGAGGGGGGAAACTGAATTCAGACAATGATTAAGAACCGAGAACGGTACAACGAATCGTCTTCTTTCTCTAATAATTTAATGAAACGTTAAGCTTCTGCGCTTCGCGCGGAGGGGGGAAACTGAATTCAGACAATGATTAAGAACAGAGAACGGAACAACGAATCGTCTTCTTTCTCTAATAATTTAATGAAACGTCAAAGCTTCCGCGCTTCGCGCGGGAGAGGGAAAGGGGGGACTCAATTCAGACAAGGATTAAGAGTCGAGAACGGTAATCTTTCTCTAATGATTTAATGAAACGTCAAAGCTTCCTCGCTTCGCGCGGGAGGGGGTATGGAAACTGAATTCAGACAATGATTAAGAATCGAGAACGGTACAACGAATCGTCTTCTTTCTCTAATAATTTAATGAAACGTCAAAGCTTCCGCACTTCGCGCGAGAGAGGGGGGGGGGGAACTCAATTCAGACAAGGATTAAGAGTCGAGAACGGTACTCTTTCTCTAATGATTTAATGAAACGTCAAAGCTTCCGCGCTTCGCGCGGGAGGGGGTATGGAAACTGAATTCGGACAATGATTAAGAATCGAGAACGGTACAACGAATCTTCTTTCTCTAATAATTTAATGAAACGTCAAAGCTTCCGCGCTTCGCGCGGGAGAGGGGGGGGGGGGGGGGGGGGGGGGATTCAATTCAGACAAGGATTAAGAGTCGAGAACGGTACTCTTTCTCTAATGATTTAATGAAACGTAAAAGCTTCCGCGCTTCGCGCGAGAGGGGTATGGAAACTAAATTCAGACAATGATTAAGAATCGTGAACGGTACAGCGAATCGTCTTCTTTCTCTAATAATTTAATGAAACGTTAAGCTTCTGCGCTTTGCGCTGGAGGGGGGAATCTGAATTCAGAGAAGGATCGAGGGTCGAGAATGGAACAACGAATTATCTTCTTTCTCTAATAATTTCATTAAACTATGAAAGGTCAATGCTTCAGCGCTTCGCGCGGGAGAGGAAAAACTGAATTCAGACAAGGATTAGGAGTCGAGAACGGTACTCTTTCTCTAATGATTTAATGAAACGTCAAAACTTCCGCGCTTCGCGCGTAATGGGGGGGGGGGAATTCAGACAATTAAGGGTAGGAGTTGAGAATGGTACAACGAATCCTCTTCTTTCTCTAATAATTTCATGAAACATTAAAGCTTCTGCGCTTCGCGCGTAATGGGGGGGGGGGGGGGGGAAGGGGAACAGCGAGCTGCCCGAATATGAATTTGTTATATCTTTTCTCGTATATTTTGGTGATAAATAACACTTTCACAAAATACATATTATCCTCAAATTTTTGCTCGCTCGCTTCGCTCACTAGCCGAATTGTGAAACCAGAAATTACTTTTTCGGGCAAGAGGCTTCAGCCCCCCCCCCCCCCCGATGAAAATGTCAAAAAAATTACCGGTATGGTGCGTCTAATATGACCTCGTCAGTATTGGTACGTTGAGTTGAAAACGGTCTGCGCAATTTTCAAATTTCCGGCCCCCCCCCCTATTGGAAAATCCTGGATCCGCGCCTGCATGTTCCAACTTAAGTAAATCATATCCATTGAGGATTTCGTTTAATTTCCTTATTTACAAGAAGAAGGAGTAGAATTGAGGTAGAAGTTGATTCGGAGGGGGAGGTGGAGGTGAAGGGGGAGAAGGAATTAGTAAGACGGAAAGAAAGAATAGGTGATTAAAGAAAGAAAGAGAGAATAAACGAGCAAAAGAAAACATGAAAAAGCAAGGCTAAAAAATCATTAGGTCGATAGCACGAATGTATATAAAGCATTTAGATCATCGTATTGAGAAAACAAAAACGGCATGATGGCCAGTCATGATATAATACATACATACATACATACATATTGGTATTTATTGAGCGCCTTTACATGAACATGCTCAAGGCGCTTTACATTTTAAAATACAAACATAATAGTTATATACTCTCCAAGTGCATTACACTTATTAAATTTACCAAGACATTACTGTCTTATTAACACCAAAATAAGGTGATATCTTCTCCTCCTGTTCATCATCATCATCATCATCATCACCGGCATCATTCTAAATCATCCTCATTATTAGCATCAACAAAATTGATCAACAAAAGCTCTTTTTGTCAGCTCCTATATATTTAACAAAATAGAAAAGTTTCTCTTTCTGATTGTAACCCGAAAAAAGATGATAATGCGCCCCCCCCAAAAAAAAAAGGCTCATTTATTTCTTTCTTCTCCTTTTTTTTTTTGGGGGGGGGGGGGAGGGGGGCCTTTTTTTAGCCCAAGCAACTATACCACTGAACTGAGAAATATGTTCCGAGAACATTTTCTCCAGACAGCAAGCCACTCACTCAAATTATCCCCTAACAAAACGACCAACCTCTTGTGTATAGGTCCTAATGGGTTAATTAGTTTTCAGAGACTATTTTTACATACCCAAATTGCATTTTCTTTAAATATTGGTTTTTTTTTTTCCTAGTCCTACCTTTTATCAACAAAATTATTAATCAAAAGTTTTTCTTTTGTCAGGTCTATAAAAAATAAAAATCTTCTTTTCTTTCATTTTCATCTCATTTTGTTTGATTAACACCACACATACAAAGAAATCTCACTAGCCCCATCTACGGTAAAACATAGTGAATTTTACTTTATTTGGAAGTGTTTCATACATGCATGATTTTTTCTTTTCTTAGCCTTTTTAGTTATGTACATTTCATTTAGCATATTACACTCAAGTTAATATAGATAATAGAATAGGCAAATTTAATGAAAAACAATTAAATATGTGAGCAAAAGTAGAATAACCATGAATAACCATGAGCAACATAAGGCTTCAAATGAAATAAGTGCGCTTTCAAGATGACAGTTCAAAATACATGCGGTCTAATTCATCAAATCCAATTAACTTTTGATTCCCAGAATAGTACGGTAGTAGTTACTGTGTCTTGTAGGTTCCAAGGTTTCACTTCGTGAGACTGCTTAAAAATGCCAGTCTCCTACAGTAATCACAATCATGGTAGAATGGCAAACAGGGGCGGTATTGCTGTGTGTGGGGGGGGGGGGGGTCGAAATGTGAGAAACGTCTTTTCTTTCTTCCTTTCTTTATTGTTCTTCTTTCTTCTGTTCACAAAATTCTAAAACTGTTTGCGTCACACTATCTTTGTTCATGTATATCACTGTATGACATATATAACGATTTAATTATAACATGATTATCAGTCATTCTTAGTACAATAACTTAACTGATTAAACAATTTGAAAATTTGAGAAAAATTAAGAAGAAATTAACTGAGCAAAATATTTGGTTGGTAGCAGACATTATAGTAGCCTATGCCTATTTCATGTATTTGAATATGATATCATCATTAATGTATCATGATCAATATTTAGTACCGGTAAATTATAATTCAGTACATGTACATTGTACGAGAAAATGTGTCAATAATCATTAGGCCTTTTATCTAAGCTATACATTTTAGTACCGGTGTATTGTCATTCAGTTTTTAGTACCGGTACATTATAATACAGTACATGGATAGTGTACAACAGAGGTTAAATATTCATTAGGCCTTGTATCTACATTTTATCATATAATATCAAAGTCAACATCAGTTACTGTATATGAAAAGTATGAACAGTTAACGTCATGATACAACTGAAAAATTACAAAATACTTCTCTCTCAACTGTAGGTTGAAATCCACATGGGAGGGGGGGGGGGGGTTCGGGATTCCGAAACAAGCAAACAAACAAAAATATTAACTTGAATATGCACATACATTTAGATTTTGGTATTATTCCAATTATTCCAAATACCTGTCCACGAGACCGAACACAGTAAATTGTCGACACAATATATGCAACCTACTTTCAATTGGAAATTATGTTGAAAAAAACATATAAATAACGTCCTTGGGAACATTTTGGGTTCTATAACGAATTTGCCAATCCCAAGAATTTGGGGATATTCGAGGTACATACTCTTATGAAACAAACATCGGTTGAACCATTTGTCAAAACATAAACATAGCGACATTAGTACGATAATTTCAAATCTACTTTGTGCAAGCAGACTCAGATAGTTTTATACACAATATAACCAGGATCATCTTGTAAATGAAAAGATAATAAATATATAGTACCTCTGGAAACAAAGGGTACACGTTTTTTTTATTTTTTAATGCAAATCAGGCAGCAACAAGTTCACATATAGAGTGCACATGCTGTATACATGGTGCAGCGTTGCAAATAAGTATCCAGGTGCGGCACTGGACCCTGGGACCCTGGTGCGGCTAGTTTTGGTTCGATTCCAGTGTAGTACAAGGGCAAGATCCTATAAATATTCAATTACAAACATTAATATACTACTTACAATAATAAAACACTCTCGATATAATATCAATATAAAAAAAGATTTCCAATAATCATAATTGTACAGTTATATTAACATTTTGTTCTTCTGTTTGACGTTTTTTGGTATCGTGGTCCATTTATCTCGTATCTCTCCCTTTCCGTCGGTCTGCATTCAAAGGGGGTGGGGCTAGTTCAATCTTAGCTAACCCTGTAAGCACCTCCTCCGGAACTTCTCCCGTTTCCTTGTTCATTTCTGAAAGCAATAATTGGAGTTGATAATATTCATGAATACATTAGAGTGACAAAATTACATACAACAACAAGATGTGTCATTTATTTTCCGTGTATTGTTTTGTTAATAAAAACATTTGACCTAGACTTATGTATGTTTCCCTTTATTTTTGTTTAATAAAGGTGAATTTTATTTCATAAAAGGTCGCATGAATAACAAATGGGAGTGGGGTTTATTTTTACATCAGTTGAACCATCGAATAGAGATGAATTATTGCAGGTTTTGAATATGTTATCACTTTTTAAGTCTAATATAAATAATATGAACAGAAAATGCATTTTTTGTAGCAAAATGGCAAGACAAGGCTACAACGCAACATCTAGGCTCAACTGCTCAACTGCTTTAGATTGCCAAGTATGACCCCCCCCCCCTCCCCCTCCCAGCACAAAACAACAAGAAATATGAAATCTCATTACCCAGTCAATATGCTTCATCGCATACCGTACTTTCAAATATTGATATTAGATCTGTTTTGTAAGAAAACTTTTAGACATTAATGTTTCCATATTGTTTTATACTTGGGTAAGGAGATAATTGGCCCTCCAAAAACGAAAAATAGCAACAAAAATGAAGGCTATAGGGTTTTATCTTGCCCTCACTTTGCAGAGTAAAGTGCAGGAATTAACACAAAGCCGTCATCAGCCCCCCCCCCCCCAAGGGAATCCTATACTAATCATGACTTCAGTTTTAATCGGGGTCAGGAATGTGTTTGATTCCCGGCCCCTCCACTCAGTGTTATTTAGGGTACGCATATGCTCGTTCCCTCTTTTTGAAAGCACCCCCTATCTGAGGACTGCCAACATTTCCGAACCCCCCTTTCGCGGGCTTTTCGCGGGCTTTTCCTGCCTTGGAGACCCCCCTAAATCATGAAAAATGGTCATTGTACCCCCCTTAATTCAGAATAATTTCTTAGGAGTGCAAAGAGATGAGAGAGAAAAAGAAAAAAACACCCCTTTTTAAAGAAATCTCCGGGTGAAAAGTCAAATACACCCTTTTTTTACAATTCTCGGGCCGGACTTTGTCGCACGAAAAGTACCCCTTTACCGGACATTTTGGCAACACGCATGCGGTCATTTTGAACCCTGAGTGGGGGGGGGGGGGGGGCCGGGGTTTGATTAATGCTCAGTTTTTGGGTGAAATGTACTTTGAAACCATTTAAAGTAATATTGGAGTTACATAAGCAAGCCCATCCAGTTTCTTCCAACATAATGTGGGTGTTTTACCTGAAAGATTAAATTATTACATTAGGTGTGAATCCTATTTCAAATTCAAGGCTTTTCAATATCCGGCTGAATTGTTCCGGGGAATTGTTTCAGAAATGCAACACGATAGCAGCTACTTTCGAAAAATCAATGCCTGTATAGTGTACTGACTCATCAAAACAAATACTGTGCAAGGTTTTGACGCACATAATTATTACATGTTATGATGATACAGTTTACAAGGAAAACACCCAGTTAGATTATCATAGATCAGCTCGAGGGTGTAATGGGTGATAACATATGGCGAGGTACCTAATCCAAGCTGGTCATTATCATTACTCATGTAAATGAAATGACGAACGGCAATGGAATGCAAGTAATCACAAGTTTCAATTTATATTTATTAGGTCATGACCATTTAAAATAGTAAATGAAAATTATGAAAATTGTGGTAGCATGCAGTCATAGCAGCCACAGGCGTATTGGAACTTAATTAAATAATTTGATTGATGTTGCGTGTTATTTAGTTGTTCCGATGTGAAATGGAGTGCGGCATAGCTAGTGTCACAACAGCCCTGATCGAGGTACGTGTTTTATGCATTGAATACTTGATGAGGTCCCTGGATGCCATCAGCAGAATCTTCGAGCCTTCATTGAGGTCCCTAGATATGCGCTGTTTGCCCTAATATCCCTCGTTATCCTCTCTCTCTCTCTCTCTCTCTCTCTCTCTCTCTCTCTCTCTCTCTCTCTCTCACCCCAGCTTTTAGTCTCTTTCTGTCATTTTCTAACTCCTTTTAACTTGATCATCCTCCGTCTCCCCTCCCTCTCCCTTTCTCCCGACTCCATTCCCTCTCTGTCCTTTTATTTTAGCTAGTCTCTCTCTCTCTCTCTCTCTCTCCCTCCTTCCTTATCTCTCTGCCCCACCCTCTCCCTCCCTATCTCTCGCTCTCTCCCTCTATCTCTCTCTCTTTCTCTCTCTCTCTCTCTCTCCCTGTGTATCTCCCTCATCTGGCTCTTTCCACCCCTTTATTTCTCTCTTTCTCATCCCCGATAGCCACTTCCACTTTTCATTCGATCTTCTTCTTCTCCCATCTGTCTCCCTATCCTCAGGCGTGCCTGGATGATGCCTTAATTCCACTTCATCCTTCCATTGTATTATGTCTTTTCTCTCTTTAACTGCCTAACTGCCGATCTCTGGATGCCATTAGCACACATTTTGAATCTTCGAGCTTACACAATGAGGTCCTGTTTGCCCTTCTCTCTCTCTCTCTCTCTCTCTCTCTCTCTCTCTCTCTCTCTCTATGTCTCTCCATGAGTGTAGTCCCCCCCCCCCCCCTCAGCCAAGGCCGCATCAACTGCACGGTGTTTGCCACATCGGGATCACTCTCGAACTCTCTCATTCTATCGATTCTACATCTACAACCATAATAACATTATATAATTTCTTGAATATTTCAAGAACAATCTCATGATATCTTCTATCCCTTTGATTTGCCTACGTCCCACAAACTATTTACTATATTCTGAATTCTGATTCACATGTGTGTGTGGGTGACAGAGAGAGAGAGAGAGAGAGAGAGAGAGGCTGAGAGAGAGAGAGAGAGAGAGATAGAGGCTAGTCTACTACAAGGAGATAAATAATTAAACCGATTTGAATTATAAGTCCCCTGTCCGCTCCTCGCCCTTTCTCCCTTCCCTCAACCTTTCATTAGTAGTTATACTTGTCGAGTAAAATCAACCACCTCTCCCCCCCCCAAAAAAAAAAAAAAAAATCTTTCTCTCTCTCTCTCTCTCTCTCTCTCTCTCTCTCTCTCTTCAAGAAATCCCTGCATCCCATTTTCAGTCGCTCGTCTCAATCAGCATGTAGCTTGTTTCCCTGTACTTGAGATCGCAGGAAATAATCTGTCATATTGGTAATAATATTACTTCGCGAAGGTAATACTGTTTGGCACTACTCTGACACCTTAAGCCTACGCCCCTCGTCTCCGTTAAAGAGAAGGTTGAGTTCTGGTTTTAAAAGCCTATGAATAATGTGTGAGCTTCCCCATTCTTTGTATGCCATTTTGGAAGACTATCATGGCAGATATTGTCTCCTGAAAAAAGGAGTGCTCTCCAAATGCCCTCAATATATTATGACGAGAAATTTCATGGTGAAAAATTTATACAATGTGTGTGAAGTCCCTATACCCATTTGTGTGTGCAGTGCATGTCATTTTCAGTAAGACTGATTCTTTTCATTTTGGTCATTCCAAGAACTGACAATATACATTGATTCTTAGGGACTATAATACTAACCAACTGCTTCCAGACTGTTTTTTTTTTCACAACATGATTTCTTCTCAAGTACAACTTAATCTTGAAGGCTATCTAGTTTAGTATTAGAAGACTATCACTTTGAAAATCTAGTTGAGTAGGTGGGCGCATGAAAGATATATTTGAAGAAGTGTAACTTCTTCCTCCGACTCTTCTTCTTCTTCTTCTTCTTCTTCTTCTTCTTCTTCTTCTTCCATCTATACCCGGTCAATCAATTATTCATCAACCTCATTCAGACCAGACCAGCATGCACGTTTTACGTCTGATGAAAGCCTCTATATACATACGAAGACCTGGGTTTTCTCATGGGAGAAATCTGGGCACCAGGGGGCATGATTGATGGAATGTAAAGGCAAGCAAAAACAATTTTGGAAGATCATTATATCGAGGTGCCTCCACAAAGATAGAGGTGTCATAGTCGAGTGGTTTTTAACAATTGGTTGGAGATGAGAAAGTCGTGGGTTCGATTCCCGGCACACCATGTCGTTCAGCAAGACATTTTATCTAAATTGCTTCTCTCTACCAGGGTGTTACAGTAAATGGGTTCCCGTTGGAATGCGAAGGCCATTGCAACTCGCTTAGCATTTTGAACGTCTGTAAAATAGCGCGTAAAACACGAAAACAATAATAATAATGATAAATACAAAGTGCGTCGCTATTTATTTCAAACAAACTAAACAAAGTGAACGTCAGGAATCTATTCCCAGGATTTAAAAGTTCTAAATAATATATCAAAAACAAATGACATACTACTATAGTGTATTGTTCTAAAATGTATACGACACAAACCTATGCGTTTACGATTTACGCCTTCTTCCTTTTGTTAAAACTGTTATTATGCTCACTCGAATTCTCCTGTGTAATTATGTTTTTACAAATGTTTTACTTGAATATTTGTTGGTATGAAAAATGGAATGAAGGCAAATAAATGTTTACCTTGAACCATGAACTTCATTATGACAAGGGAGGTCTCATCTCCCTGCTATGACAAATTAATATTGTGTTTAATAGCCTAGAGTTGAATTTATGCTTTATTTGATCCTATTCCATGGGCGAAGTTGGGTTTAAAAATCGATGGAATCCCAGACTGCTGAATTTCGAACATCTGTTTTTAAAATCGGCATCCAACTGGAAATCACACCGTCAGTGGCTGATCGTTTTGTCTGGGTTCTTTTAGGAGAGAAAATGATCAATAATGATTCATCCGATACAAAAATAGATGAGCTCCTACATAGAGTGTTATTTTCGATCAAAAATTAAGGTTCATAATTATGAACACTGAAAGGCGGCAACGAGCGACGGCAACGAGCGACTGTTTTCAAAATGTTCATGCTGTATCTCGCTAACTATTTTTATGGATAAAGCAGTTAGGGCCTGATGTTGCATACAGCTGGACAAATATTTCCCCTGGACTATTATGACAGTGCCAGTCCTGCCATCAAGAAAGTAATGGAGTATAAAAACGCACACACACATATTCATCATCCTAGTTTCTGCATCCTCATCAAAATCCTAAGTAGAGCCATCACAATACATCATCCATATAAAAAAGTTCCCTCATCCCCGATAAGACAAGCAAAATGTTACCATGGCAACCGATAGGGGAGAAACCATTAGTGTCATCATACATAATACATAAGAGCAACACATGTTCAACCTAGCATGGTTGATACTGTGAATTTTCGCGCCAAATACCTTTGTATTTTCTTGCCGGTCCGGAGATGACATTGCTTAGATCTTGGCTGGAGGGAGCGCTGTCTCGAAAATCCATCACCATGGTTACCAGGTCCGGTCGACAAATCTTCTCCAGAGCGTGCTCTAGATAATATAAGTTATCTATATGAGACGAAGAAATGCAAGAGGGAGGGGGATAGGGATGGAGAGAGAAAGAGAGAGGGGAGTGCAGGGGAAAAGAGAAAGAGAGATCGTGGAGAGAGAGAGAGAGAGAGAGAGAGAGAGAGAGAGAGAGAGAGAGATAATGAGGGAGAGAAGAGAAAGAAAGGGAGAGAGAGAGAGAGAGAGAGAGAGGAGAGAGAGAGAAGGGGGAGGGGAGATAGAAAGGTTTGATAAGGAAACTATGAGTGTTTGTTGATCTATTGTATGCGCTTCATCAAAAGATTGACATAAAATGAAGGACATAATAAAAATTCGATCAGAATATGGCTTCCAGCTTTTGGATATGATTTGATTCGATTTTGTTTTCACGGTTACTTTTACAAGTTGCATCACAGGGTACTATATATTATACAGATATTGCATGCTCCAGCTTTCAAAATAATTATATAAAACGACAAATTCGGAACTTCCCGGGTGATGTTATATTTCATTGCAGGCCAATTAGGTTGAAATATAATTGCAATAGGAGCTTTCTTTCTTCTTCTTCTCCTCAGTTCTTTTACTACTACTACTACTACTACTTCTACTACTACTACTACTACTACTACTACTAATACTACTATAATACTACTTCTTCTTCGTCGTCGTCCTTTTCTTCTTCCCTTTCTTCTTCTTCCCTTCCTTCTACTTCCCTTTCTCCTTTCCCTTTTTTCTTCTTCTTCTTCTTTTACTTCTTCCTCCTCTTCGTCTTCTTCTTCTCCTTCTTCTCCATTAGATCAGGAAGCACCTTCAGAGCCCTACCTTGACTGAGCTGATCAATCTTTTGAAGGTAGCTGAAGAGATCCCTCTGTTTCTTGATCTTCTCCCTCGCTTCATTTGGGATGACGTCTTGGCAAGCTGCCGTGAGAGCTTTCAATTCTTCTTCTGAGATGCTCTCTCCGAGTTGTTTCATGAAATTATCGAAATCCTCTTCAATGGTCATGTCGAGAGCACGGGATCATGTAATAAGATGAAAGGTTAGGATCTGTCTGTATAAATTAGAAACCAAAAATGTGCTCTGACAGTTAAATGGCAAAATAATCATAATGATGTCACATTTGCCCCTGCGTTCCTGCCACATACTTCAAATCGTGCTACAATCGTGCTCTCCCGTTGGAATTACTGCATTGACCTACCTGAAGTTTATAAGCTGTCCGATGCAATGAAAACTACTATGTTAGATTGAAATTCACCTTTGAATCACTGATTTGCAACTTAGATTATAGTTAAATGCTCCTAATCATAGTTTTTAAGGAGCAGTGTGTACACTTCAAATACTCAAATATATTAAAATGAATGGGATATGGTCCTTTACGTCCTGGTCGTAACTTCTTGGTGTGACATGTTTTATGTATCGTATTGTAACTGCTACATGTGGAACTCATTCTAAAGTTTTATGAGTTCAAGATTTTCACGCAGCTCAAATCCGTTAAACTGATAAGATAATGCCAGCACGTAATTATTTACCGACGCTCTCCCTTTTTTAAGTGAGACATGTGCTGAATGCTTCTATTCGTTTCCGGTTGCTTAAATACGACACAGAGTCAATTGATCATTATAGGGCGTTCCCATCCCTCTGTTTAATATTTAAAACATTGTCATGAAATCTGATCATCTATCGCGCGGATCATTCATGATTTACAAAAATATCCGAAGTCTTTGAAAATTAGCAAAATGAATGTCACTTTGCTTTTAACATGTTTATGTTTGAGATGAGGGGAGAGAGAGGAGATGACCAAGAAAATAAACATCGAGAAAGCAGCAAAGTATGTTTCACTTTAGTTTCGACAGACGTCAAAAATTGTGACAGAAGGAAATATAAACAGATAGATTGATGGAGCATAACAGTCTTAAAAGAGAGTAAGATTAGAGAGAGAGAGAGAGAGAGAGAGAGAGAGAGAGAGAGAGAGAGACATGAATGAAAGAGAAAAAAAGAGAAGGGACGATGGCAGAGAGTGCGAATGAGACATGGATTGTCGGAGAGTGAGAGGGAATCAGTGCGGGAGAGACAGACAAACTAACCGAGACCGCCAAACATACAGAGATAGAAGAAAGGTAGACAGACAGACAGAGCTAAAGGGAGAAAGAGGCTTAAAGAGAGATAGAGAGAAAGATCAGAGACAGACATAGAGAGGAAGAGACAGATAGACAGAGACAGAATATGGAAGGTGAGGGATAGAGGGCAAAAAGAGAGAGCGAGAAAGAGAGACAAAGAATATGGAATGTGAGGGATAGAGAGCGAAAGAGTTAGAAAGAGAGAGAGAGAGAGAGAGAGAGAGAGAGAGAGAGAGAGAGAGAGAGAGAGAAGAGGGAGTGGGGGTGAATATAATTATATTGATCTAACACGAGAGACTCGGCCGGAGTGAAGGGGTTACATGTAATAGGCAGGTCTGGAGAATACAAGATGAGCAGTGGGCATGATAAGGAAAGCCCGAGGACGCTCTCATGCATAAATTAGAATCCGATTAAATTAAGACCTCTCCTGAGCTACCATCAGCAATGCTTGTAAGATGTAGATAGGGATGCACCCCAAACCTTGCTGGGGGTATATTTAGAACAAATTATTTTCGCTAATAAAGTTTAGCCTTTGTAAATTGGGTTATGTCGAAAGTGTCGTCCAGACGAGGAAAGCTGAAAAATAAAAGACGATCTTATGTTGTGGTCCGTCCTTGGGATAAGACCTCATTATCCATTGTGAGCTATATTCTACGTCTTTTTTAATGCCCAAACTATTGTTTTGTTTCAAAAACAGAAAACAAAATCATCATTTTAATTTCATCTGATATAGTAAAAGCATTCACACAAAAAGAAGAAAGATAATTGTGCAGGTATGTTTTTAAACGTATTTTTCAGTATTATTTTCATATTTTCACCGTCAATTTTAAATATCTAGACCCCTCCCCCATTACCACATAGACATACAATTTTCTCTTTTTCAGTATGTTCTACTGGTACTGATACTACCAGCAGTGGAGCTGGAGGTAATGAAAGAGTGAGAGAGGGGGCATACAGTGCCCTCCTATTAATGGATGTTTACATTGTCTGCACACCTGTTATTCCATACCGGAAACTATATAATCCTATTTTCCAGCTAAATTTATTTCCATATTGGTTGGACAATATACATACAACTTCATGATAGAAAAATAAGACTTAAAATTTGCGGATCTGTTATAAGCTGTAACTATTAAAAAAATATATATAAAAAAGCCACCACAACAAAGACATCATCAGCAATGTAAACTACTATTAGTGCCACTATACTACTACTACTACTACTACTACTACTACTACTACTACTACTACTACTACTACTACTACTACTACTACTTCTTCTTCTTCTACTACCACCATTACTACCTTTACTACTACTTCTACCAATAATATTTCTACCCCCAAAAACGGTTCATTTGTACAGCAATGAGTTATTACGATGAACAAATGATATAGTATTGAAACTATACAAAGCGATATTCTATCCGTCTACTGAGTTTCCTTATACCCTTTAAATCAAATTCCTTCTCGTTGCTTACAGACTGTCTCTGGTTACTACATGCTGCATAATTATATGTACATTATAATTGACAAATACCCACCCTCTACGCCACTCATTAATTGATGAGTTTAGGGAGATAAACTTTCGATGAACCTGTATGAAACCCAAAGGCATAACAAACAAAAACAACAACCCTGTCACTCTCCCCTCCTTCCACTATTGACTGTTCCTCTCCTTTTACTCCCCCTCGTTTTCTCTTCTCACTGGTCGATATCTCGATCAATTTTTGCCTAAAATAAACCACTGCGTCTTCCCTCACATACACTCCATCGTGTGCCTCATGTATTAACGTCTCTTTAACAAAACAAAAAAAGACTTACGGCGCCCCGGGCGAAATGACCGTCTTTTGCCTCGAAAGCAGAAAGGATGGCTGTCAGCATTAGATGTAGACGTATTATCGTTAAGAAATAAGTGTTGTTATTGCTTTTCTTTCTCTCGGGACAACTATATCAACGCATATAATTATCAAACGCAGCCATTGCCATAACACATATTGTACTGCATACGGATTTCCGAAAAAAATTATAATCTTGTGCATGTGAAAACATGGGGATTATGCGAGAATAAAGAGATTAATGCCATGCATGTGTCATTAAGCTGAACGAACAATTACATTACCTGCACATGGCACATGGCACGTAATGGTGTGGTTAAATTGTTAGATTACAGAATGGTAATCTATCACATATTTTTATAATAACACAAAGATCGCATATGTAAGGAGATAGAGAAAAAAACAAATGGAAAGGAAAGAGAGAAATACAAAAAGAGAGGAATGAAGACATAATTAATCAATTGAATAAATGAAGAGAGTGATGACAAATGAAAGAAAGAAAGAAAGAGGGAGGGGGAGTTAGGACCTGGAACTTGATTGTTCTAGTGTCACAACTTTGGTAAGGATAGAAATTTTAGAAGAAATGTACAAGGGTGAAGGTTAGCAATTTGCAAGTTCTCTTTCAAACTCATTCAGTGGTAGGTCTATTCATAAAATATGACAGAGCAGGCTTTATCATCGGTCACTTTGTTTTACAAGTATTTATTGGTTCAGAATTAAACAAAAAGAATAATACAATAATATCTATTTAATAAATGATAATACGAGAAAGAAGGTAATTGAGGAGAGGAGAAATGATTTCTGTTTACTGGGGTGGATGTTAGAGGCGAGATGATGACTATATATGAAATATGTAATACGATCGACGATTTCTGGCATAAACACTTCAGATTACGAGGATTAGTAAGGATTTTGGTTTGGCAGAAATGTCAAACATACCAAGGATGAGATCAGATGAAAACAACATTAACAAATAACAATACAGAGAGAGAGAATGAGAAAGCGAGGGGGAGAGAAGAGGAGATGAATAGGAAAGATGAACCGGATAAACGGACACATAAAGAGAGACATAGAGGGGAGAGAGGGGAGAGACAGACATAGATGAGAGTATAGATCGCGACTTCGTATCATTCTGTCCGAACATCTTATAAACAACGTTTACACAAGAAAAAGATAAAGTGACAGGGAAATAGTTGGGAGACAGCGAGAAAAGAGAGGAGAGAGACAAACCTGATCAGGAGAGCCAGAGACAGAGACAGACTCAGATCTATTCAAGTAGATATATATATATAGAGAGAGAGAGAGAGAGAGAGAGAGAGAGAGGGGGGGGGGGGTTCTAGTGTGCCTACAGGGGCAGAGGGACATGTGCCCTGGGCGGCAAAACATAAACAGTATAGCTGCACAACACTTGAAAAGAAAGAGGGCGTAAACAGAGTAAATGGAAGAAAGAGTTTAGGCAATATTATGATCCGTAATCATCCTTATACGCAAGAGAAAATGCATGAGAAATAGAGGCTTTGGATTATTTGCTGCCCACAAGAGGATATAGTTTATGATAAGGAATCAATATCTGTACTTCTCGTTGCTTTGTTTCCTATTATTATTATGGGGGGATATTGGGCCCTCAATATACTTGAGTGTATAAAATGGCAAAAATGGCACTTGCAAAGGTTCATCTTTCGGATACCTTGCTAAATTCCTTGACTATTCCCATGAGAGGTCATTAACTTTGCACCATAATTATGTGAAGAAGAAGTGAACATAAAACTGCTTAACCCGCTAAACAAAATTCAAAATGAAAGTCGGGAGGGGGCTAGAGGGCTGCAGAACAATACAGTATAAATAGTATCACCTTGTATATGGGCAATGAGTGATTGGGATGATCAAGGTTATAGGTAGAATTGAGGAGTGAGGTGGAAGGTATTAGTAAGGAGAGAAAGGAAGAGAGAGAGAGAGGGGGAGATGATAGAAGAGATAAAGAGACTTTGGCACACTCACACATACACTGTTGGTCATAATGGTGGAATATTTTTTTTTACCCCAATTTATTGAATGATTTTGACAATGATTTATTCCTAATAGATCTAAGTAATAGTATA